CTATTATAAAGGAAAAAATATATTCTCTATATATCTCTTACGAAAGTAGGTTTAGAAACACACCTCGTGTTGAACAACCGCAACAATGAGACGACAATCCGCATTCATTCTTGAATGTTTTCGGGTTGTCTAAGAAGAAGAAGAAGAAGACGACGACGAAGAGTCAATGTCAAGAAGAATCTGGGAGTGGAAGTGGATCTTCATCAAGAGGTGGCGGCGGATTCAACGAATTAATGGCCTACCTGAGTAAGGACTTAGTTATAGACAGTAGTGAAATGTTTGATTTGGTTGATTGGTGGAGAGCACGAACATTAAATTGGCCGATCCTAATACAACTGGCAATGGATATTTTTTCGATCCCGGTCTCCACTGTTGCAGCCGAACAAGCATTCAGTATAACCGGCCGAATACTTGAAGAACGGAGAAACGCATTGCAGCAGGATATTGTTGAAGCTTTGGTGTGCATCAAGGATTGGGACCGTTCTGACCAACGCTTACACGATACAATCTCACCGGCAAACCAAGAATGGATCTACGAATTTAATAGATTAACTTTTAATTTTCAAGATGATCCTTCTGCTTCATCTTGATAATTTTTTTGTAAATATTTATTTACTTTGTAATTTCTAATTTGTATAGTGTTTATTGTAATTTGTAATCTTGTATAGACTTTGTAAGTTCATCAAATTTGTGATACGTCCCACAATGATTGCACTCTTTTTTCCTTACCAAGTTTTTATCCCAATTGGGTTTTTCTTGGTAAGGTTTTTAATGAGGCAATCATGAATTACAAATTTAAAAATCAATGAAGAAGTAATTTTTTTTATATAGTTCGTTCGTGTCGTGTGTTCATTTCATATTTCAAATTGTAATATACACAATTACACATTGTAATTATACAAATACTTATTTCAAAAACATAAAAATATAATATAAAAAAAAAATTCGGGCAGCCGGTCGGGCATCGAGCAGCCCGACCGGGCACGGGCAGGCTTCCTCTACCCGAAGCCCGTCCATGGGAATTTTCAGGTCGGGTCGGGCAGCCTGAATTTTTGGGCAGATCGGGTTCGGTCATCGGGCAAAAATTCAGACTTTTCAGTGGTCACGGGCGGCCCGTCCAAAGTTTCAGCACTAATCTGCACTAAGTTCTCTTCCTGCTATTTCTACTGGTACATGACGTAACCAGTGACTGGACAACAACACTTCACTGGATGGTAGTGCCATCTTAAAGACTTGACCCATCTTCTCTTGAGGATGTGGTATTTGTTTAACAAATTCTAATGATGCAAATGTGTGTGTGGCTCTTGAATCAAATAAAGCTCGTGCAGGAACATGGGCAACAGTAAGCTGACCTATTACTACATTGGACGTGCCTGCCTCAGCATCCTCCTTAGTGTATGTCATTAGTTGTGCATTGGCTTGTGCGGAAGCCTCTATTCTGTTCGGTTGAGGGGTTGGAAGTACCCGCTGTGCTTGCATGGCATGAAATTGTGGAACTTGTGGCCTCTGTGGTGCCATTCTAGGAGATCCTGCTTTGAATGGACACTGCTTTGCATAATGCCCCTTCTGTACACATGTATAACATACATCCATACCGGTTTTGCATTCTCCAAATTGTTTCCTTCCACACGTCTGGCAGATGGGAACACTGGGACTGGTATACTGGTCCTGCTTCTGTTGGGAATTTCGCTGACTCTGGTTGTGACTCCCGCTGAAATTACCTTTTCTCTTATTGGGGTTTTGCTGGTTTTGATACTGCTGTTGATTGCCCTGCCCAGGTTTCGATCTCTGGTTACTTTGACTTCCTTGACCTTGCTGATTGGTACTGTGGCTCTGCTTAGTGGGTGCATGTGCCTTTTCTCTCTGTTTCTTCTTATCTTCCCACATCTTGGCTCGTTCTTCTTTAGATTTAGCAATATTATGCTCCGCACGTATTATCCGATTCA